GATAACTTCTCAAATGCCTTAAGGTTGCATCACAAAACTGATATTCATGATGGAAATTCTTTCGTAATCTTTGACAAGGAAGCATGAAATTATGTTTCACTAAAGGTACAAGATGGTGCACCTCAAGTGAGAACAGCATTAAAACACAAAAAGCAACTAAGAAATATGATCTTTGGGGAATATTTTGCCTATCAGTATGGCAAGAATGAGAAATTGGCAAGAATGAGAAATTGGCAAGAATGAGAAACATCTTTACAGGAAGCCAAGAATGAGAAATTTCCAACAGTTACAAGCAAGGCAGGTACAATACTGTTAATAAATGGAAAAAGAATATTTTACCTATCAGTTGAGTTAGAGTTTCATGCTAACTATCATGCAGAATTGAACATGCATATAGTAGCCAGATTAATAAGTAGGTAGTAATTAGCAAGTCAGATTCTCTTCACAAAATTTTTGGTTGAACATAAAGCTGAAAGCTCAATTTATACAAACAAGATTCAAGAATAGTATTTGCAGCAACTGTCCAAGAAAAGGGTACTGCTGAAGGATCTGAGTTCAAGAAATGTCATGCCAAAATTCCATTAAGAAATGAAACAGTGTCGAGAAATTTACTTACGGGCAAATTTACGGCCTCTGCTACTGCACCCGTAATAGAACTTTGAATATTTTGATTTCCAAATATCAATTGGTTCACGGCGACCTCCATCCTACAAAGTTTGCAAAGCACATTACTAAATATAGGAGTAACACAAAGCATAATTGAAATTTCATATACTCCTACATCATCTACCTAACACAATGAAAAGCACTTTATTTAAAAAAAAAAAAAATGAAAGGCACCAAGTATGCGAGTGTGTTTTCAACTATGGTGAAAGATCAACAATGAAAACACCAAGTACCAATAACATACAGATGCAGAAACTCAAGATACAAAAGCGCAGATGACACAAGTTCAGATTGTAACTTCCAAATCAATTTTCTTTTTGATCATGTGAGATATTTTTAGAAACTAATCAGGGAGACAAAAACAGAAAAAAAGAATCCATAACGAAGCCCACAATAAAACTTGAACCCGCAAGTCCCAAATTCCACATATATGTACCATACTAGCAATTGCGGGCACTCAACAAACAAAAGAACGAGAGACATGTAGATATCAGTAGCCAGCGAGTATCAAAATATGCATCGCCGGGCAACAGTATCAAGCACAATTTTTAACTTTCTTACCGCAGGCATTTACAATCTAAGCCTTTTGCAAGGCACCCATCACCGCAGTCTGGATTTCAATGTAATGCTTCTTCTTTTTTTCCTTTCCCCATCAATCATTAAAGTACTTCTTAAATTAGCCAAAAACTACAAATATTTCTTTAAAATTTTAACCTCCATCTTACTCATTCTTCATCCATCCATAAACTTTAAAAAAAAAGGAAAAAAAGAAAAGAAAACAAGAGAGAAATGGTCGTTCTGGAAGTTACCAATCTGGAGTACAAACTGCGCTTGACCAATTGCTGAGAGTACCATTCAAGATCAGAAGCAACATGACCCGTGAAAAGCGAAATCAGGCCCAAGCCGAACAGCATTAGGCCACAAAGCAGTGACCAGGAGATCGGTTTTCGAGGCTGCGCCGAGGAGGATCGCCACCGCCAGCACACATGCTTGTTGCCGGTGCTGCTGCCGCCGGTATGCGCACCGTTTTGCTGCTGTAACAAAGCCAGGTTCGCGGATATCACGCTAAACCTCCAAGCCTTAGCCACGCCCATCGGGAGTGTTCAAACACTCTCTTGCCTCAACCTCATGACTTATTTACGGCAATGCCACCCGCTCAGACGACGGAGCTCCTCATTTCCAGTAACTAGGTAACCGACTGAGAAGAGCAGAAACGGAAAGGGAAGGTCAAGAGAGTAAATAATGCAAAAGTGGATGCGAAAGGTTTTGTTAAGCTCAGAGAATAGTTAGGTTTACAGCGACTTGTGATCACGGTCCCTCTCTCTGTTGGGAGATTTTGATATGCTGAAGACAGAGATTTTACAGACAGAGAGAGAGAGAGAGAGAGAGAGAGAGAGAGAGAGAGAGAGAGTTTTGCAGTGAAGACAGTGGAATGGATTTATAAATTATTAAACTTTCAATTAAAAAAGATAATTATGGTTAATTAAATTATAATCAGGTTTTCCTTTTAGGAAAGTAGGGATTGATTTTCTTCTTTTTTTGATAAATGGGAAAGTAAACTTGAGATAATAATGCGTTACATCCATTTTGGAAAGTGAAGATTTATTTGTCCAGTTAATGAGGGGTTTGGAATTTCCTTCAAAACGAACATAACGGCGACGTTTAACACTCTCTGTTAAATAAATGAATAAAATAAATAAACAATAACGTTAGCTTAACGAAGTTAAAATTGGAAATACGGTGTCGTATTAATAGGGCAGTTTCACTTGTGACGCAGGTTATCAAGTTCACGTGGTTATATTTTTATTATATTTAAATAGATAACAATTGTGAGTAATTATTATAATTCTTTATATTTTTTATGAAATATAAATTTTTTATATATGAAATTGCCCTATGACACATGGATGTAGATATTTTAAGTAGTAACTACAATATAAAATAAATTTACTATTATTTTCAGGAAATAAATATTATTTTATAATTTATTAAAACTAATTGTCAAAAAAATTAGGAATTTTCTTCAAATTCATAAAATTAATCATTAAACTTAACAAATGAAAATTAAAAGGAGGAGACATGGGACAAAATTGGACTTACTGGCAAACCATTTTGAAGGTATATGGTAAAATTATTTAACACCCGATTAAATTAAAACTTCACAAATTTTTGAAACTAAATATTTCATTTTTTTACGAGGATAAGATTATGTAAATTATCAAAGATCTTATGATGTATTTGATTTCATCTTCTAATTAATTATAAATGTTTAGTTGGAGATTATATTTTTTTAAAGTACATAAAAAATCATCATATACAAATTGTTTACCACATTTTATTAACATTATAATGTTATTTTATTAGTAGCAATAATTTAATTTACTAATAAATTTAATAAAATTGTGATGATTAAATTAATTAAATTTAATTATATTTATTATTTTTTTGAATTAAAAAAACATTACTTATAAATTAATTTTTTTAATCTAAAGTAACCACAATTGATTAAAAATCATACTTCCCATTTTTTTTATTAAAAATGAAAGTCGGGTGCACTTGGGCTAAAAACTAACAGACCGGAGCCTAGACAGTCACAAAAACGACGGCGTTTGGCGCTTGAATCGAAAACCGTAAACGGTGGGCTTAACTCCTCGTCTTCGTCTCTACTTCTCCTTCCAACTGCAGTGAGACACGAAGAGAAAGGGGGAGAGAGAGAGAGAGAGAGAGAGAGAGCGAGCCTGCGAGCTCCGGGATAATAAAGCAAAGGAGAAGCATAAGGAAGTCTTTAACATTGATATCAATCACAGTTATGATAAAGAAACTCAGAACTTCACCTGGCTTTTCTCATTTTCTCTCAAAATCTTTCTCTTTCTCTCCAACCAAACAATCCCACAGTTCCCACGGCGCTGTCCATTCCGCAAAGTCGAAATCAAAACCTACTCAACAAGCGACTATTTGTTCTCCTCAACTATCTATCTTCACCTTAAGATTGCACTACTGTCACCGTCTCTCCCTCAAATACTCATCTCTATGCCGACCTGTTCTGCACTCTTATTCATCTGTACTTAACCTGTGGCAGGTTTTCCCAAGCAACAGGGGCTTTCTTCGCGATGAGAAATCATGATATAGTTCCCATTTTGCCACTGTGGAATGGTCTAATTCACCATTTTAATGCTTCTGGTTTGATCTCGCAGGTATGGTCGCTTTACTCTGAGATGATCTCTTGCGGCGTCTTGCCCAATGTTTTCACTATCAATGTGTTGGTTCATTCTTTTTGCAAAGTAGGTAATTTGAGTTATGCACTGGATATGCTTAGAAACATTGATGTTGACGTCGATACAGTCACCTATAATACGGTAATTTGGGGCTTTTGTCAGCAAGAACTGGCTCACCGTGCATTTGGGTTTGTGGCTGAAATGATAAAGAAGGGTATAGAGATTGATTCTTTTACTTGTAATATATTACTTAAGGGATTTTGTAGAATTGGCTTGATTAAATATGGAGAGAAAGTAATGGATAGTTTAGTCACTGGTGGAATTTGTAGAGATGTTATAGGTTTTAACATATTGATTGATGGGTATTGTGAGAGGGGAGAGATGAATTATGCACTGGACTTGATTGAGAGGATGAGGAGAGAGGGCTTAATGCCTGATATTGTTAGTTACAACACTTTGATTAATGGGTTTTGCAAAAAAGGTGATTATATAAAGGCCAGGAGCTTAATAGATGAAATTCTGGGATCTCACAGGAAAATGACTGCGCTGAAAATGGTAGCTTTCAGATGCAACCAAATCTTATAACTTATACCACACTTATAAGCTCGTACTGCAAGCAGCAAGGGCTTGAGGAAGCACTTTCTATGTATCAAGAAATGGTTACGAATGGTTTCTTGCCTGATGTAGTTACTTATAGTTCAATTATAACTGGTCTTTGCAACCATGGGAGGCAAGCAGAAGCAAAAATGCTTTTGGGGGAAATGAAGAATATGGGTGTCAATCCTAACCACGTTTCTTATTCAACACTAATTAATGCATCTTTCAAAGCAGGAACTATTATGGAGGCTTTATCCCTACAAAATCAAATGTTTGTTCGTGGTTTACCCTTTGATGTGGTTGTTTACACCACTTTGATCGATGGGCTTTTTAAGGCTGGAAAACCTAAAGATGCAGAAGACATGTTTGGGATCCTTTTGGACCATAATATAGTTCCAAATTTTATCACTTATTCTGCATTAATTGATGGCCGTTGCAGATTAGGAGATTTTGGTAGTGCAGAATATCTACTAAAGGAAATAGAGGGCAAGAATGCTGTTCAGAATATTGTAGCATATTCTTCTATCATAAATGGCTATGTAAAGAGAGGAATGCTTGATGAAGCTGTTAGGGTGATGAGGAGGATGGTAAAGCAAAATATCATGCCAAACGTTTTTATATACGCTGCACTAATTGATGGCTATTTTAAGGCAGGTAAACAAGAAGGTGCACTTGCACTTTATAACGAAATGAAAATAGTAGGTCTTGAGGTTAATAATTTTATAATTGATGCGTTTGTGAACAACTTAAAAAGATTTAGAAGGATGAAAGAGGCTCAGGCATTAGTTGAAAGCATGATGTCAAGAGGCTTGTTGCTTGACTGTGTTAACTACACATCTCTAATGGATGGATTCTTCATAGAGCACAAGGAGTCAGCTGCTTTTAGCATAGCTCAAGAAATGTCCAAGAGAAATATATCATTCGATGTTGTTGCATTTAATGTCTTAATTAATGGTATGTTGAGACTGCAAAAATATGAAGTTAAATCTGTTTATGATGGAATCAGAGAGTTGGGATTGGCTCCAGATGTTGCCACCTACAACACCATGATTAATGCATACTGCAAGCGGAGAGACTTGGAAAATGCTCTTAGGCTCTGGAATGAGATGAAGAGCCGTGGAATACTCCCAAACTTGATCACTTTTAACACTCTAGTTGGAGGGCTTTCTGCAGCTGGTGAGACTGAGAAAGTACTAGATCTTTTAAATGAAATGACACTCATGGGGATTCGCCCTAACCTGACCACTCATAGAATTCTTCTGAAGTCATGTTTAAAGAGTAGAAGAGCTGATACAATTCTGAAAATGCATGAGCAACTTGCAAAAATGGAACTTAAACTCAGTCAAGCAGTATATAACACCCTGATCACAGCTTTCTGCAGGCTAGGGATGACCAGAAAGGCTACCTCAGTGTTGAAAGAGATGGAAAAAAGAGGGATTTTGCCAGATACTTTCACTTACAATGCCCTTATACACGGATATTGCATAAGCAGCCATTTAAAAAGGGCTTTTGCTACATATTCTCAGATGTTGAATGAAGGACTTTCTCCAAATGTTGCAACTTATAATATCCTTTTAAGGGGTCTCTCTGTTTGTGGTTTAATGAAAAGGGCAGATGAATTATTTGGCGAGATGAAAGAAAGAGGCATTGACCCAAATGCTTCCATTTATGATGCTCTGGTTTCTGGACATGGTAAGATCGGAAACAAGAAGGAGTCGATCAAAATTTATTGTGAAATGATCACCAAAGGGTTTGTACCCCAGACTGGCACCTACAATGTGCTTATCAGTGATTTTGCCAATGCAGGAAAAATGGGTCAGGCTAGAGAGCTTATGAATGAAATGCAATTGAGGGGTAAATCCCCCAATTCTTCAACGTATGACATACTGATTTGTGGCTGGTGCAAAGTTTCTAATCAGCCAGATCTCGATAGGGGATTGAAAGTGTCATATAGGACCGAGGCAAAAAGATTATTCATAGAGATGAATGAGAAGGGGTTTATTCCATGTGAAAATACTCTTTTCTGTATCAGTTCTACCTTTGCAAAACCGGGGAAGAAGGTTGATGCTCGAAAGCTGTTGAAGGAACTATACAAGAGAAAGAATATCTAGTAGGTTAGCTACATTGGCAGGGGCTCCTCTTTGGTGTTGCAGTGTAAAAAGACTGGTGAATGCAATGCCTCCACGGCTAATCTGGTGTTCATATGAGAAGTTGACTCATAAATGCTTCATGTCTGTGGCATTTATCCTTATTGCAGATTCATCCGTTCTCCCTTCTCTGAGGTGATTAACTCGTTTCTATATTTCCTGAGGTTACTATTTCTTGCAAGATTTTGAAGTATGAAAATCAAAATTGTTGAACTTTCTAGGTGAAAGTAAGATTGAGCACCGAGCACTGGTCATCAATTTTTTGTATATATGTAAATGTATGTTTTTTTTTGTATTATTTTCTGAAGACATGTTTTAAATAGCGGCAAAGTGTGTAAAGAGCTAGGAACGCTAATTTATTTGTCAAGGAATCAATTCTAACATTTAATGGTAATTTTATGATTGTACAATTATTGTGTATATTGCAAACTCATTATACTTAAATGTTTGTATTTATTTTTTCAATTTTATTCTTGTATATTCATGGCTATAGAGGCATATTGTGATATAAAATGTAATTTTTTGTCTGTCTCAATTTTTATGGTATCAGACTTAAAAAAACTTGGCGAACTCTGAAACTAATTCTCCTTCCCTCTCATCTCAAAACACCCACCCATCTGCTCCATCTTCAATCTCTACACTTTCTTCCTCCATTACTCATCATTCTTTTTCAATTAAATCAACCACCTCAAATAATTTACTTTAAAAGACTCAATTCTTTCCAATTCTAAACTATCAAAATCTATCTGGCTTTGTTAATGGGTCTTAAACCATCTCCTACAAAACCGATCTTATCTGTAGATGGATGTTTTATTTCTAATCCCGATTACATTGGTTGGTTTCCGAAAAATCAAATACTCATAGCATGGATCCTGTCTTCTCATCACATAAGAAATTTTCCTCATATGTTATTGGACTGAAAATATTCCTATATGAAACTTAAACTCCAACTTGTTAGTTTATGATGAATTTGACCCAATTCTCTTCAAATTACCCACATTTGTATTTGAATGACATGGATAACTTCTTATAATTTGGTCACTGTCTAATTTTATGACAATAGATCCACTTCAAACTTGCTTAACCAAGTCTCTTGAACAAACCCAATTGAAGTTTCCTTTACTCTCTTAACCTTTGCCCTTATAATAAGTTCACTTAAAATGTGCAAGAGATCACTTGAGACAAGTTATTTCAATAACTTTTGATGAGTTACATTAAGTTTTCTTAAGGTAAAATTAGGGATCATGAAATAATAAAAATTAATTTTTTTTTTTTTATGGTACAAATGGTCTCTCTTTTAAATCCATATTTGATGAAATTATGAGTGTTTGTAATTAAATAATATTTAAAAAAGAAAAAAGAAAAATCAGCTATTACCTTTAATGGTAGTAATAAATTACAATTGATAAATGATAATATTTCTTATTTCTGATTATCTAAACTCAGATTTTTGCATAAAAATAAAATTCTAAATGCATCAAATTACTTATTTTTAAAGGTATAAATTAGAAGTGACAAATAATTATATATCTTGTTTTTGATATCTAAGTTTGATTTTTAGAGGTAAACATGCAGTTATAAAATTCTAACCACATCAAACTGTGAGTTGATAGGAAATGTTCCTTTAGAATATTTCTTATCTTTCCAATTAAAAAAGCAAAGCTAATTGATATCAAACCTAGAACTAAGATTTTATATCAACATCTTATATATCTACGTTTGGTTGCCAAATTACCCTTACATTGTTTGGTATTAGTTGGCTTATTATTGTTGGGGGGTTAAAACATATACAATCCAAATTATCCATTTTATTTTTATTTTTTCATAAAAATATCGATATCAAAGCAAGTTAACGTTCTAAATATTAAACTGATCATCACTTCTAAATAATCAGATAATTCTGAATTCAGATTTTTCGTAGAGGATTACAGAAAGCTACTCATTTTCTAACATGATATATCTGTAAGTTAGATCAAAAGATAAGAAAACATATTAACTCACTGGGAGGTCAACTCTCTGAATATTAAACTGATCGTCACTTCTAAAAAAAATCGATAATTTTGAATTTAAATTTGAATTTATCGTAAAATATTACAAAAAGCTGTTCATTATTATAAATGATATATGTAATACCCGAGCTCAGAATTTGGCCCGGGATCAATTTTAACATTTTAAATATATAAAAAAATTATTTTTAAATTAATTTATTTTAATTTATATTAAATTTATAGAAAAATATATGTTATAGATAAAATTGAAAATAATTTTAGAAAAAATAGGTGAAATTTTGAGTTTTTACGGTGTTTTTGAAAGAAAAATCAGAAACTGAAAGTCATAGTGCAAATAAGAAAAATTTTACCATGTAGGACCGCTCAGTCAGCAACCTCGACAAACCGGAGCATGCCGCGTGACAAAGCATGCTGATGTCGGTGTCACACTGGCGATCCGTGTACCCCACGATCGAACAGCCTAAGATCGATCCTGCACGCGTATTTGTTCCCTCTTTAGGCATGATCGAACGATCGAGATCAAATCGCAATGAACGGTTCAGATTCATTTTTTCCTTAGGCACGATAGAACGGTCGATATCAAACGAGATGAACGGTCCAGATTAACGCGATATTGGTATAAATATTTCGTATCACACTAAACTCAAACTCTAGCCGCCAGCCTCCCGCCGAAGAAGAAGAACCAGTCGCTGGAGAAGGGAGCTGACCGCCGATCGCCACTACACTGGAGCCACCTCTGACCGCCAAAAAAGGCAAAAATTCTCATACCTGTTCAGAATTCGATTTTAAGCACCCATGTGGCTATATTGGAACAAAACGAACAGCGGGTGAGCCAAAAACCACGAACAAAGCCCAACGGTGCCATCACAAGTAAAACCCATAACCTCTTCTGATGAGCCCCTTTCCGTTTTTCGTTTCGTGCGATTTTTTCACCGTTGTATTCACTGTTCTATTTTATACAGGTTGACTGAAAAAAAAATCTCACTCACGAAGGTGAATCACCATACTCGGAAAACTCCACCACTAGTATGTTTTCATTTTTTTATTTTTTTGGGCTAACTGAGGCCCCCTAATGTATTTTTTCGCATGGATATGTATAAAGTCAGTTTAAATGGACCAAAATCGGCTAAAACCGGCCAAGTTGAGGCAAACTACCACCACAGGCGGTGGTGCTGTCGCTGGGGCACGATGATGCCACCGTACCAGAACCCCGAAATTGACCGAAACAAGTTTTGGACACCGATTTTAGATTTCTATAGTATTTTTAGGCACGTGACAAGTGTTTTGGATTTCGCATGAATAATTCAAAAAATTCAGTACCCATTAGAAAGCGTAAAAGATAGCGCGGTGTCCCGAAACACTGATGCAGGTAAAAATCTATTATAATTTCTCTGTTACGAAAAATTAAGGCTTAATAATTATTAATTATGTGTTTTTATAAAAAATTAGAGAACCTTAAAAATAATTATATGTCACTAGTGAAGTCGAAACCAGTTAATTCACAATCGTTTTGATTTCCTATTTATTTTTCTGTATTGCCTATATTTGGTTACTATTATACTATGCGTAACTCAATTGATGATTTTTAGGATCTTTTTGGTTATTTGTTTTTCCTGCATTGTGTGTCGATATTTCAGTCATTGATTATTTTACTGTGTTAAACTATATTATTGTCTAAGTGATGTAACGATATCGGAAATTAAAAGGAAATGTATATATTTATTCTAAGTGCGGAAGCGAAATAAAATAGATTATGATTAACATCCCTTACACAATAATCAAAACGTATTAAAGATATGAAAGAATAAATTAACTAAAAGAAATACTATGAATGAATACTATAAGGAAAACTAATAAATTCTTAGGCTTCTACTCGCCGTCTTCTTGCGGAACGGGCTCGGGAACCAAGTCCTCCTGATCTGAAATGGTCAAATAAGGAATGAGCTACACTATCCCAGTAAAGATGTCACACTATCTCACTGTCACAGTAGTAAAGGTTGGTAAAAAATAAAAACGACCAATTGAGCATAATTTATAACAAATTCATTTATCAATAATAAAAACTTTTACTGTCCACTTACCTCGGTGAGATTCATGAAAACAACTTATGAAAACAATAACATTATAAACATCATAAGATCATACACAATCTGTAACATAACATATATCATACTTTTGTATTTTAATCATCAGGTAACAAATTTCCTCTTTTATCAGCCTACTAGTATCCATGGGGATCCATAGGGGTTCTTGCTACACGTGAACCATTCACCTTAATTCCAGGGTCGTCCCCGTACCCCGTCCGGTATGAGCACCAAAACCATAAACCTCAATACCCCGTCCGGTATGAGGGTGAAGCGATCCGTCCCATACCCCGTCTGGTATGGGCGCCAAAACATTTAAAGTCTCCATACCCCGTTCGATATGAGAAACCATGTTTCCGGTAGGGTTCCCTATGGACCCGGTCCGTCCACCATCTCCCAGGATATCTAGTGAGGTTGTCGACTTATCTATTTATAAATTCACATACCCTTTTTTATTTTTCTTAGTCTCAATTACTCAATCAACATGAATACATAAACCAGTAACGCACACCAAACAAGGCAACACAACATCGGGTTCACAACAATTCAAACCATAGTAGATTAAACAGTGATTCATGCATACAAAATCACAGAATAAACAATCAAATACTATACTGCATTTAAACTGTTAAATACATCAAATAGGAACAGACCAACAATTACATTAGTTTCGAACCCTATTAGCAATCTTAATTAATTATACATATCTATTAATTCATAAAATACCATTTTATTATTTATTAAGCTTTAATGCCGTGATAGGAAATAGGGTAAGAGATCCTTACTTGTTTTGAAGTCTGAAATCGGGTTCTCACTGCGCCTATGGACAGTTCCTAGATTCCCTGAATTTTTTTCCGGAAACTGAAACACACTTCCGGTACATGTACATGTCCCAAAAAATTCCAAATCAAACTCAGGGCCTATTCGGCCAATTTTGAAATTCCGGCACGGTGGCTCCGCCGTGCTCCAGCAATGGCGCCACCGCCCATGGCGATGATCCGCCTCGGGTTGGCCGTTTCTAACCATTTTTGGCCGAATTCAACCAAACTTGCATTGGTTCCTATGATAAAACACCCCTAGGGCCCTCGGTGGGCCAAAAAAAATATAAAAAATCGAGACTTACCAGCAGCGGAGCTCTCGGGTGCGGCGGCTTCTCCGGCGCGAGTCACGATTTGGTGTTTTGCTCCGGTCAACCTATAAAGGAAAGGACGGTGGTCACAGTGGTGTAAAAATTACATCGAACGGAAATCGGGAAGGGCCTCATCGGAGGCGAAAATCGAGAAAACCTACGACAGCGCCGT